AATAGAATGCTTCCATAAACCAATTTGTTTTCTATAAAGTTTGCAAAATTTATTATTACATCTTAAAAACTCATAGTTGTTTCTTCTAATATATCTAACTGCTTCTTTACAGTAAATAAAGACATTTCCATAAACTATAAAAAATTCATCTAAAATCAAGTTTTTGAGTTCTTTCTTTCTAAACATTTGAAATTTCATTTTTAGGGGTAAAAAATAAAAATTTTGTAGACCCTACCTTTTGATACAAATTGGTTTAAAGCTTTGCAAATTTAATAAATAAAGTTGTTTTATAAATGTCAAAAACGAAAAAATATTTTATGTACTTATTTAGCGCCAATATCTTTGTTTTAAATAAAAAATAAGTTTATAGTTGCGTTTAAATTGTTTTAACAATTAATATATAGTCAAAGTATAATTTTGACGTTGTCTATTTAATTTTTTAAATATCTACAGTACAACAAATTATTAAACTTTTAACACTTTTCCTTTTTAGATTTGCCACCTCCAATTTGACATTTTATTTAACTTTTGTATCTTAAGATGCTTCCTTCGAGTTGAACAACTATACTAATTTTCGTAAAAAGTGTGTTGCTTACAAATAAAGAGAACTTATAAAGTTAATGAAATTAGTACAGTGTCTAGTTGTGTATTTATTAAAATTAAATATTTTAAAAAAGTAACTAGATTTTATATAAAAACTTATTAAATAAGAAAAAATTGCAATTACAAACAATTTTATATTTCGAGGCGCTAAAACGAAATCGAAAAATATGTAATGAAATTATTTCTGCATAATAATTATCTTTGTGCCGTTGAGGTGATAAAAAAATTTAAAAACATGTGTACTTTTTATAAACTCAAACCTCTGTATGTATGTATAAGTGGCGAAAAAGAATTTGTGCACAGTAAAAGGTGCCGCACGCAATTATAAAAAATATTAAAAAAAAACTTAAATTAGCAAATCTAAATTAAATTCATAAAATAAAGAAAAAATTCAATGAAACATAATCATGTCTTCAAAATTTCATACCAATAAAATACATTGTTAATCATAAACAGAACTAAGTTTTTAAATAAAAATAATCCAAGTAAAATTTTAATTACACCCTTACACTATATAACAGATTTTTAGCAATATTACACATAAAAAAAACCCTTACTATAAGACTTAAATCTATTTCTTTTGTTTGTAAACCAATTAGATACTTGCTTAATTGATAAATTACAAATATCTGCTAATTGTACTTTTTCAAAATCAGAAGGATATTGGCTATTTTTAAAGGATTGTTCTAAAATATCTGTAATATTTTTTGAAAAACGTTTAGGAGCATTTGAATTTGATTTAACCAAATGTCTATGCAGTAATTCAAAATAACTTTCAAATGCTAAACTTATACTATCAACAGTATTTTCCTGCATTTTTTTTAATTCAGATTGTATAACATTTTTAATTTGTATTGAAATGTTTGGTTTAATTATTTTGTTGCAACAAATAAAACATTTATAAACTGCTTCAATTGAATTACATAATTTATTATTTGTTTCTATGTAAAGAATTCTAAATTTATTAATCTTAGCTAGCAATTTCGTGTTTATGTGTTTCATCTAAGGGTATTAAGCTGTTCAAGGCTTTTTAAAGCAAAATATTAATAAAACTTAAATCATCAATTTATAAAACACCTAAGTGTTTTATAAAGAAACATAAGATGTATATTATTATTTATTATCAGATAATTTATTTTAAAAAAATTTATTAATTTTAAGATATTACAATTTTACAAAACCAATATAAAATATTAAATATTTTCATTAAATATAATGACAATAAAATTATTTTGAGGCGTATTGTTTAGAAAACATCAAAGACAAAAACCAATTCCAAAATTCAAATAATAATTACAATTTAATAATAAATTATTTTAATTTATAGATTTATTTTAGATTGAATCTTATGTTGCTTAAGAAACAACAATTGTTTTAAGCCAGTTGTTTGGAAGAAAATAACTTTTTACTTTAGATTAGGACGATATGGAGCTAAATTTTTTTTAAATTTAATAATAGCAATAAAGAAACAATTTTATAAGTAGTTTATTTATAGTGATCAAGAAGCACATAATATATCTATTACTAAAATGGCACTACAAATTGGATATTCTAGAAAAACTATTAAGCTGGAGAATTTTTTAGTCGTAAAAGCTACGCACATTCAGTTTCTATCATTAAAAATAATTATTGAATTGTTATTAAAATTTTTTACTAATTAACATAATTGCACACTCATTTGCATTTTGTGTTAAAGTTAATACACCCAAAGTTGAATTTTTTATTAAATATTATAATTAACTGTTTATTTAAGAATTAAATAAGTAATATTTTTCTGGACATGCTGATATCGGCTTTGTGCACATAATAGATTGCTAGTCTACCTCTTTGCTTCCACTATCTTGTCTCTTCTCCGGTATTCCATTTAGCTGCTCTTAAAAGTCTTTTAAGCATTAAGGATTTGATGTACGCTTTTATTTGGATCGTTAACTTAAGCTTTTTTCTATGTTTAGATTGATATTTACAATAAATATAATACTATAATTTTATTAAATAAATTTTCATCTTTTGATTCTATGAAACCTTAAGTCAACATAAAAAAAAATTTCTATTACCATTTACCTTTTTTTTTTAATTCAATTCTTATATTCATTTATTACTATACCGGATAATAACATATGAACTTATTGGATAATTTTGTAGCGTTAAATGATTTTGCTGGGTCGCATAGAATTTTTATGTTAGATGTACAAAAAAACTAATTTACGGTTTTTATGGTTTAAACTTTAAATTTATCCATTTTTCACTTTTAGTAAATAATAAATACTGCAAATTTTATAAATTAATGTGCAGATCTTATTTTTTTCACAAAAACAAAAATATACTCAGTATTTAATAACATAATTTAAATTTCATGTACGCAACATATTTGAATTTGCTTACAAAAGTACATTATTTTTGAAATGGCTGCCTTTTTGTCACAAAAAGAGCTTTATCTCTTGCAATTATTATAGTTAATATTTTTAATTGGGTCAAGCTGTTTGGGGCAATGTTTTATAGTTAACATTTACAAGTCTTTTAGTAAGGATTTTGCTCTTCGATTTTTTGTAAAACTATTTTCACTCTTTAACTAAGATCAGTTTAACATCTTTAAGTGCTTAAATCTTTATTTTTGCTTTACAGCGAATTAATTAAATTAACCATACAAACTAAAATTTTTAATTTAAAATTTTAAGCTGAGGTTTAATTTAAATTAAGCAACACATTAAGAATTGTTAAAACAAATAGCAATTCGTGTGTATACGTATTAGCTACAACATGACAGTGTATGTACTGCCATTTATATTATTTGACTTTTTAAAACATTTTTTAAAATATACTATTGCAAATTATTTTTGAAGTTAAGTTTAAAAAAATCAGTCCATCATAATATTATTAGGATGTGAGTTACATGAAATTAATAATTGAACAAAAATTGACAAAAATGGGAATTTTTTGATATATGTTAAACTAGCTTCTTTTAAAAAGCTTGAGCATTTTAGGGAAATATAGAGTAGTTTAGACTTTTTAGTATTTTCAGCCTTTTTATTAAGAAATTAAAAAAATTATTTTTTACTTTTTTATTTTAGTTTGCTCTTAATGGGTTAGTTGCTAAAAAGTAAGGTTTTAATTCTAAATTACTTAAAGTCAGATTTTCAGGTTTAATTTTAAGTACAAATGTTATAAAAACAGTGTAAAATTGAAATTTTAATTTTTAAATTTTGATGTTTTTGTAAAGAGTTTACTGTTGCTACAAATATGAATAACAATCATAAACTAAGGATGGGGTTTTACGTTAAATTAGTTGTAGCCGCCATGTATTTACTAAAAATTTTAGTTTTGTAACTTTTCTACACAAGGTAAAATAAATCATGTTAACTTCTAATAGTAGGCATTTATTAAACAATCTCAAAAATTAAAGTCTAAACTAAAATCTTACATTACCAACAAATTAATTTGACTGATTATTTTTTTTATATATACTTAAATTGCAGCAACACAAGAAATTAAATAATTTTACACTTATTGTTTCATTCCAACACTAAAGATATTTCAGGTTAAATAATCTATTAGATAATAATTCTTTTTCTGATCATGCACAATAAGTGAAAATAAAAATAAAGATAATAGTTGTAGGACAGTAAGGATGTAGACATGTCAATCAGCAGTATTTGGTTGACGGCTTTGACATGTCTGTTATATAAATTAAAATCATTAAATTACCCATGTTTTATCCCAACAATAGTATAATAAACTAAAAAAATGATATATGGTAAATTAAACCAAAATATGCCCAATTTCCTTTCCCATTAGTCCTTACAAAACCTTCTTTATTTACATATACCATTCTATATTATACATTAAATTTACATTCACACATTATTTTATTTACAAAGCCATTGTATTCGAATAATAAATTTTCTTGTTACAAAATTTTTCTACCCTTATGCTCTTTTCTTCACAGCAAAATGAGCTTTTAGCCAAAGGCATAT